AAGAGGTCGCACCGCGCGCCTGCCCCTACCCCGTTCCCTCTGTCGGATACTAACTAGTAGGACAGTGGGAGTCGGAATCGCTGCCTGCATTACCACCCGCGGTGCGCGTCGTTCTATTCTTCTTGAGGTTGAAGTGCGACGACGACGAGCAGAGCTCCGGTGGTCCAAGGACGCAGTCTCGACGGGTGCGTCATCGTCTCGTACGCCACGGACCATGCATACGTCACTCGTAAGAGCGATAACCCAACCGAGTGCATGGAGTGCAAGGACATTAGTTAGTATAAATTATATGTCAACGCTAGTGTTTTTGTATTAAGAGATAGGGTATTGATTTGATGAGTTGCTGCGCAGACGCTGTGACCGTCATTGATCCGAACCCTAGTCCTTCCTCCTCGCTGACGCGCTCAGCCGACTTGCGACCTTTCGCCGACCCGAAATATCGAAGGCGAAAACCCACCAATCAGCGACGTCATGAAATACAGAAGGCGGACGGTGGCGCCAAGCGAAGAGGCCGCGCGGCCATCGAGCAATGCTGTTCACGGTGACCAAGAGAGGTAGACGCAGGCCACCGGTGTAAGACGGAAGTACATGCTGGTCATCTCTGCGGTGCTCGCATCGACCTCGTGTCTCGTGGCTCGTCTGGCCCTTGGAGCCAGCTCTGTGAGCCGGATGGCAACTCGGCCTGGCTACAGTGTAGCCGCGACCGGCCGGGCACTGTCTTGAGTCGAACCAACGTGGACAGCTTGCTGCGGCAACTGCTTCAACGGCGCATTGCCTTCGGTGACGCCGGCGATGAGCGCCAAGACGGTCCTGCTCGTGCCCTTTTCGATCGAGTACGTGGCGCCAGCACAATGTGTTGTCGCTGACGCTCAACGCTAGGATGAGTGCGCGCTGGGACCTCGCGGCGGTTGTGCGCACCGGACCCGACATGGCCGACATCCATATTTTTGGGCCGCGCCGCAACCACGGCCAAGAGGTCGTGACCAAGATGGAGGCGTTCGCTCGCGTGCTTCTGGGCCCGTGCCGTCTCCGCCAGACGCACATGCCGCTCACACGACGCGTGCCGGCGCCCGAGCACTACGCTGCCTACATGGCATCGAACCTCCAAGCCTTCTTGCGCGCGTGTCGGGCACACACCAGCGACAACGGCGTCCTCCACGTGGGCTGGATGCACGACTTTGCGCCAGCGTGCGACTACGACAACGTCATGGCCATGCACGCATTAGCACGCGCGCACCAGGTGCCAAGCCTGTTTGCCGAATGGACTCGTATCGGCTGCACGACGCAAGCTGCCCCACCGGCGAAAGCGCGCCAAGAGCTCTCGGCCTGTAGCAGCCCAGCGTCGGTCGAGGAAGCTGGACCCAGCGCCTCAAAGCGCAAGGTCAACAGCGAAGACTCGCCGTCCAAGACAACGTAAAAGAAGGCCAAGCAGGAGTACATGTAGCAGGGTGTCAACTCGAGTTGAGTAGCACGCTGCTCATTATATTAATGCACAATTTTGCTTGCGACGTCGTGTTCTATAAGTCCTAGCTGATAAGTCCTCGCTGATAAGTCCTAGCTGATAAGTTGGTCGTCGTAGTCGATGTCTAATCACACAGCAATCGATGCTGATGGAGCCAAGCAAGGAGGTCACCGCCCAGGTCACGCCGCGTGTCTACCCCTACCCCGTTCCCTCTGTCGGATACTAACTAGTAGGACAGTGGGAGTCGGAATCGCTGCCTGCATTACCACCCGCGGCTATTCTTCTTGGGCTTGAAGTACGACGACGACGAGCCGAGCTCCGGCGGTCCAAGGACGCAGTCTCGACGGGTGCGTCATCGTCTCGTACGCCACGGACCATGCACACGTCGCTTGTAAGAGCGATGAGCCAACCGAGTGCCTGGAGTGCTAGACTAGTGTGAGCTGTGTTTTTGTACCAAGCGATGATCATAATGGCTTGAGAAGTTGCGGCGCAGAGGCTGTGACCGTCATTGGTGTAGCTCGTCTGCAATGACCGCCTCCTTCCCGAGACGAGCTGACGGAGGTCCTCTTATGGGCGTGTGCTGTCGGCGAAGGGTGCATACCAGAACCCTAGTCCTTCCCGCGCTTTCGGCCGCCTAAAATATCGAACACGAAATCCCACCAATCAGCGACGGCAGGAAAAACAGAAGGGGACATTAACATTTGCTCGTGGTCGCTGTACGTTGCATCTATTTTTTTAAATGTTTTTATTTGGTATAGGGGGAGAGGTGTGGGAAGATAGGAGATTTAAAAAAAGAAGCTAACCACGAGCAGACCATTTGACACCCAAAACAGAAGGCGACCGTCCAGCGACGCCAAGAGGCCGCGCGGCCAGCGAGCAATGGTGAGCATGGTGACCAAGAGAGGAGGATATCTCCATGTAGGATGCTCTGCTGTGCGTCAAGGACGCTGCAGTAGTGCTCGCATCGACCTCATGGCTCGTCTGGTCTTGGAGCCAGCTCGATGGCAACTCTGCCTGACTACAGTGTACATGTCGGCAGGACGCTCTTTCGTGTCTCTCATTCGACACTTGGCCACGATGCAGTGTACGCAGTGCGCACCGATGCAAGCGCTTCTGCACCGTTGAGTAGGCGCCGAGGATGCTGAGAACGCGGCGAGCCTCGACGCGCTCCTCGCGTCCAAGGTACCGCGTCGTCGCACTCGCATCGTCCTACCAACTCCGTGTCTAGTGCTACGTCGGCTGCACGGTGGCCGACGCCATCGCGCGCCTCTCCGCCTACGAGCACGTCCAGACGACCCAAGCGCGCAACGCGGTTTTCTTGTTGCGCCTCGCGGCCTTTGAGCAAACGATCAGCGACATGGCCATCGAGTACGTTGCTCGTCGAATGCAACGACCGCGTACTTGTGTTAGCATCCACTACCTCAAGAAAGAAGCCACAGTGGTGGAAGGCGTCGTGTTCACCGCCGACGTCGACGCTCTCCTCCGTCGGCCCGGTGCGCTCAGCTCCTTTAAAGCGCTGGCCGACGAGCCTTGCGTCCGCGCCATGTTTGCCGCGCACCGTCCGCGCTTGACGGACGCGTATGCCGCCTTCGACGATCATATTCGCAGGTTCATCGGGTGTAGGGTCTTCCAGCGCTGTCTTGTTGCGCGCTTCATCACGCTGCGCTTACCCGACGCCATCGCGGCGCAGGCGGCCAACACCGACGCCAACGCGCGGGCCAACGCCGCCGCCGCCGTCGACACGTGCACTACCGAGGCTGAGCAAGCGTGGGTACTCACGGTCATGTAGGCTGGACGACTTTACGTCTGCTGAATTGAACAGCGTTTTGCGGTGCAAAATGACGGCTTCGAATGACACGACCAACTTCAACTTGCTTAGGGCGCTGCTGGAAGAACGGCAAAGTGACAGCAACGATTTCTATCTCTTCCACTCGAACGTCTTTAGCTGGGTGTCGAGAGAGCGGTCCCGCAATGCGACCCGCGACATGGACGGCAAGGTCCTACTCGTGCCCGTCGCGACTAAGTACGTTGGCCGGCATCCGCGCATGTTTGCTCGACTGCGAGTAGGGCCCGATGGGACCTCGCAGTCATCGTGCGCACGGGACGCAGCGCGGTAGACATGCACATCTTTGGCCCGCGGCGCAAGTGCGCGGACAAGGTCACGGACAAGGTCGAGGGCTTGGTGCGGACTCTTCTTGGCGCGTGCGAGATTCGCCACGTCCACATGCCGTTGACGTCGATCAAGGTCGCCAAGGAGTTCCATTTTGCCTATATGGCCGTCACCCTCCGAGCGTTCCTGCGCGAGCACGCCAAGCGTAAAACGATGACCTACAGCAACCATGGCGTCCTGGACGTCGACTGGATCCACGACTTTGCGCCGACGCACAGCTACGACGACATCATGGCCATGCATGCATTTGCACGCGCGCACCACGTACATTGACGGCGGTTTGTTTTGTAAATTTATATCTGCTGCTAGACGCAAGCTGCCGAACTGGCAGACGTCGCTGGAGCGATCCGAGATCTCTCGGCCTCGGCCTTTAGCGGCCTGGCGTCGGTCACGGCAGCTGAACCCAGCGCGTCGAAGCGCAAGGCGCTGTTGTCCAAGACAACGTCGAAGAAGGCCAAGAACCAGTAGCCAGCGTCGACCCTTCGCAGAATGCTGCGCTCAACAGGTATGAATGCCTGTTCTTGCTTGCGACTAAGTGTTCTAGACGTCCTACTAGTAGTTGATAAGTCCTAGTTGATAAATCTTGGGCCTTAGCATCCTTGGCTGCCATTCGATCCCTAACCCGAACCCTACCCGAGCCCTCCGCCGATCGAATTTGAATTCATCGGGTTTAAGATAATACTGCTCTACGTCAAGTCACGTACTAGTATCCGATACACTTGTGGATACTGGTACTATCCTAATCGTTTGCACATTTAAACACGAGACGAAACACATGGACTGGGATTTTCTCACAAAACAGTCTGGTACGATCCAACAGAGATAAATATGAGTGGCTACGACGCCGAGGACCAGCTGCCGCTTGTGACCATGTCGAGCTCGGCGTTGAGGAGCTTGACAATGTACGGAAACGCCGGGCGGCGGTGCGGGTTGCTGTGCCACGCAAAGCGCATGAGCTTGGCGAAATGGGGCGGGCACGACTCGGGAATGACGGGGCGCACGCCGCGGACGACCGCTTCCTCGACCGCGAGCGCGCTGCCCGGAATGTCGTCGTACGGCTGGCGACCGGTCATGAGCTGCCAGCAAATGATACCAAAGCTGTAGACATCCACTTTGAGCGAGTAGGTCGAGAGCTCTTGGTCGACGAGCAGTTCGGGCGCGGCCCAGCACACGGTGCCGACGCGCGACGTCATGGTGAGGCTCACCACCTCCTCCGAGTGGTGTCCGAGGAGCGACACGAGGTTGCTTCGACTCGCCGAGAACGTAGCGCGCTGCGAGTGCGGCGAGAGCAGCGTCGTCGTTATCGACTCGAGCTTGCGCTCGACTTCGTCTTCGTGAAAGAGCCGCGACAAGCCAAAGTCCACGAGCTTGAGCACGCTGCGGGTCTGGTCGAACACGCAGTTGAGCGGCTTGAGGTCCCTACACATGCAAACCATGAAGCCTGTGTTTACCTAACCCTACAACCGGAAAGGACGCACCGGTGGATCACAGGGACATCAAGTGTATGCAAAAACGCCATGCCCGACGCAATCATGAGCGCGTACTGCAGCACTTGCACATACGGGAGGTCGGGGGCCAAGACGTCTTGAAGCGTGCCGCCGCCAAGGTACTCGCAGACCAAGTAGAGGTGGCTTCCAGACGTATAGCAGCCGTACGTGGCCATCACATTGGGGTGCACGAGTTGCGACGCGAGGTAGGCCTCTTCTTGGACGCCGTTGAGCGTCACGTGGGTCGAGTCCCGCTCGAACCGAAAGGTCTTGACGGCGACAGGAATACCGTCAGCGGCCGTCGTGGGCAGCAGCGATGAGTTGCTGTTTTTCGGGCGACAGGTATGGCAGCAGTACCAGTGCTCGGCGGTCCGCGACGGGTACCACATGGCCTTGACAACGATGGCAAAGGCGCCTTGGCCAAGGACTTCGAGCGGTTCGTCAAACTCGATCGAGCTCGGTCGAATCGCTTTGAGGGATAGACCCAGATCAAAGCGCCACCGGACGCGGAAGAAGCTCCAGATGGTTACGACGCACGTGAGGAAGCCTTGGAGGTCGTAGGGGATAAACGCAAGCGACACACGCATGACGCGGGCGAGGCGGTCGTCGTCGTCGTTGGTCGGCACGCCGTTGGGCGGGGACCACCCGGGGGTTTGATGCGATACGATCAAAATCGCATATACAAAGAGGGAGCAGCCCCACGTGAGTACGTACACGCCAATGTAGTAGTTGGCGACCGACTTGATGCTCCGCCGGGCATGCGTCGGGTAGAGACCCTGGACTTTGGCCTTGATGCGAAACGCAAGAAAGGTCACAAGGCCGAGCCCAATGAACGGCGCATACAGATTGTTGAGCGTCTGCGTCTCGGTGCTCATGCACGTCCACGGGCTGTAGCGCGACGGCGTTGTCATCGAGTTGCCTTCGACGAGCTTGGCCCACGCTTCAAAGTCCGGGTCCATGGTCGGGATCGTCGACAACGTCACGGCAAGCGCAATCGCAAGCGAGAGCAGAAAGGCCCCGATAATGAGCCGACACGTTGACCGCGCATGGACTTTGGTGTCGACGAGCAGCTCGGGCGGCGCGGCCACGGACCGGTACAAGCGGTACGTAATTGCGACCGTGAAGATGATTTGCATGAGATTCATGGTCGTCGTGAGCGTGCTCGAGACCTCGCCGCAGTACCAGATCAGTGGCGTGCCCAGTTTGAAGATGGATTGCCCGGAGAATGTCTTGCTTACTGCAATGTAGAGGCGCGAGACGAGGTACCCGCCTTGCGAGAGCATGAGCGGCAGCACGAGCGGTATCGACGTCGACCGCACGGACGGCTTGAGCATGTAGGCAACGACGATGATGGCGAGCGAGATGAGCGAGAGCGCGCGGCAGGCGGTCGGGATGCTGAACGGCGCCATGAGGTGGTCGTGGTGGACGGTCGTGTTCGCCGCGTTGTCTGTGCCTACGTACATGCCAATGGCGGCGAGGACAGCGACGGCGAGGCAGAGGATCACAATAAACGCGATCGCTACAAGTTCGCTGAGCGAGACGCTGCGGCAGCACCACCACGGCGACCGCGACGACGGCGATATGTCGCTGGCCGACTGCACAAAGGAGAAGCCGCTCTCGCTGGCGTTGGACGGAGCAGGGGACGGCTCGTCGAGCCGAATGGCGTCGATGAGGGTGTGCATGCTGCTACCGCGTCATCAATTAGAAATGGGGCGCGCCATCCAGCGCCACCTGTTGTTGCCATGGGCGACGCTGAACTTTTCGCCATAGATTACCAAAGCCATTTGAAAATAAAAAGGCGCTTGGCCACTCAAATATCGCGGATTTCACCAGAGTTGCCATTTGCCATCTGATATCTCGGTGGACTCTAGAGTTGCGTTGGAGTTTTTGAGTTTGAGTTTGCCCTTGCACATGGCGAGTTTGCCGTTGGACTTTGCACTTGTATCCAGAAGCTGCGTACTGATCGTTGAGACGACACGAGCCCCCCGCGGTCTCTCCGTGGCGCAACGACGTTGGACGTGGCCGGAACGACGCGAGCTGCGACTGCTCCGAGATGCTCCGGTTGCTGTACACACGTACTAGTAACAAATAGACGTTGGTCCAGCTGGAGTCGGTATCGATTGACGCGTCAAAGTCTGAGTGGCTCGTTTGACGGCGCGAGTGGCTGCATACTTGAAGCGCCGACCCAAGCAAGAGCCTGGGCGACAGGCGCCATCGAAGCAAACGAAGTGCAGCATCCGCTGCGCTTGCTGCGGTCCCCGCAACACGTTTCTTCTACCGGTAGACCTACAGTATTCTTGTCGACGGAAGAGTTGACGAGGGCAAATGTTGTCGCAGTCAAACAAAAGAAAACAGACAATAATATATTGCACAAAAGGTGGACTTCAAGGAGTCCTTCAAGCTTGGACCCACGCACGATCTTGAAGCTAGAGTAGCAGCGTGACGCACCCTGCGGACTACTGTGGACAGTACGATAAGCCGCCCTCGGGCGCGCCTCGCGCTGACGACGACGTTGGGCAAGGGGCATTGCCGAAGCGGCTTCGGCGGATGTGTGGCCCACATACACTGCAAACGCTTACACTGTATGTAATCGCAGGGTCGGCTGCAGAGACATTGCTCTCGGCTCCTTTGTCCATGTCGCTGCATCCACGACACCATGTAAACGCAAGCAGCTCGTGGGCAAACAGCAAGCTCGAGTAGCGCTACGGACTCTGTTGGGTACCACAAGGCGCGACCATGTCCTCTCAACATCCTCTTCGCTGCTGACTCCTGGTTCGGTGTGGCCAGCGAGAGAAGTCCGTGACGTGGCAAAGCCCCATTACAGCATCGTTTCCGACGACCTATTTTTGGCGAGCGTGGCTGGTTTGCCCGAGAGCCGATGCTGTCGCTCAACACGTATGGCCTCGCGCGGCCGTCGCTCAACCAGGCGAGCAGCGTGCACTTGCCGCGGCTCCAGGCGTCGCCACACCATAGCAATGCGGCGGCGTCCGTCGGCAAGCTCGCGCAGCAGCGCCGCAACATCCATCCGCTCTTCCAGACCAGCGGGTCCGTGGTCATTCGTGACAACCCAGTTGGATAGATTTGTAGCTTTGACTACGGCCGCGTCGTCGATTTCCAGGACCTGGGGCTGCATCTGAGCCCCGTGAAGCGGCCGTTGGCCAAGCACATGGACTTTACGAGCACGTTCATCGAAGGCCCGTTCACCGACTCGAGCCTCGGGTCGCTCGACATGAAGTACCTAACATCGCAGATATATAGATTGTCATATACTCTGTGGACTAGAAAGAAGCGGCTGGTGCTGAGCGACCGACTCCAAGCCGAGCGCAAGGTTCGCACAAAGGACAAATACGACGAAAAGCAGCTGGTCTACCATCTCGATGTTGACGCGGACAATGGTGTCTTATATCGTGTACTAGCAATTGAGCTTTAAGCGCGAGATTCGCCGCGAGCTCCGGGAAAAGCGGCGGCTGGAGATGCTCGAGCAAGCGGCGGCAGCGACAACGATCCAGCGCTATGCACGCGGCATGCTCACACGCAATCGCTTGTGGCGACAACACCTCGCGGTCCAGAACGCCGCGGCCACGCGCATTCAAGTACATTTTTGTATTTTGAGAGTATCGAACCACGGACCGATTGTAGGGATTTTGCCGGTCCCACATGCAAATCTTTGACGCCAAGTGCCAGCTCCAGCGCATCAAAGTAGAGTCTTTTCGATCGGACGACCACTGCGTCTCAGATACTGGTAGCAACGGCGCTGGGACGACGCCGCCGCCGTCATCCAGCGGCGCGTTCGGTCGTTTCTGCAGCGGCAAGCCGCCAAACGAGAGCTTGCGCGCCGCCGGAAAGCTCGCGACGACCGCCGTCAAGAAATGCTGCTGCGGGCCGACCGCGTGCGAGCTGCCGCCGCGACAACGATTCAAAAAATCATACGTGGCATCCTCGTGCGTCGACACGTGCAAGCAAAGAAGCTACTGCACGACCGGTCTCGCATCTCGCTCTCCCGCGAACAACGGGACGCTGCCAAGAAGCCAGCAAAAGCCAAGGCGCCACCCCGTCTCGCACCAAGTACTCGTATTCTTGGGGTCACCTGTTGAAAAAGACGTCTTATGGCAACTGGACTAGAACCGCCCAAGAAACGCGGGGTGCGCAACGACGGCATGTACGCGCGTCGCGTCTCGTCGAGCGAGACGCTGCCGACCGAGTAGCCACCATCGACGCTTCTACGATCGCTGATTGAGCGCCGCGTACGCCGCGTGAAACTAGCAATAAATAATTGTCTTTGTGTTGAACTTGACCACACGGCAGATGGCACCTTGGGGAGTCTCTTCTCATACGCTGTTTTGGCTTTTCCGTGGAGTTGAGCAATCTCGTCGGGCGTGTATGTCCTAATCGCTCAAGTGACGCACCTTGGTACATGCTCTTGTCTACCGGCCAAACGCTGCCTTTTGGCTCTGCGCCACGACGTCGCGCTGTCGGGTTTCGTCTGCCTCGGCCTGACGACCAAAGATGTCGTCACCAGATATCCACACTACATCACTTCAATTATAGTACGAGACAGTCTGAGCTATACCTGCCGTCAACGTCTGCGCCACGTCACGCAGCAGTGGGCGAAACGCGTTGGCCTTTTCGACGTGCAATCTCTGCTCTTCTTGACCGCGTTCGTCGTAGGCGGTGTCGTGGGTGTAGACTAGTTGCAAGCATGAGCGGCCACGTCCAACAGTCGGCAAACGACCTCCACACAGCGTCTTGGCGATGTCCAACAGTAGCGGTGTGAGTGCATTCATGTCATCAAGTTCGACGCAGGGCGCCTCAACGACGGGTACAGATGCCTCGCGTGTCGGCTAGGACAGACGACTGGTGAGCGAGCACACCACTGCCAATGAAGAAAAATACCGTGAAAAAGTCGGACTCTTTGGTCAATTGCAGGTCTTGCCGAATGGTCGGGAGGCTCCAAGTCTCGAGAAGCTCTTGCAGTGTCGACACTTGAAGCGTCTACGCACAAGGAATCAGCGCACAGCATTTGCGTCAGCAATCGACCGGTTGGTGCACGGCGCGCAGGACATCGTCGAGCGACTGCGCACGCAGCAACGGACCTCTGTCAACCCAAATACTGGTCAAGGCCTCACCACACGACGCTTACGCGAGGTCTACGAGCGCGAGTGCAGTGAGGTCCGGCAAGAGTCGATCGGCGCCGACGAGGAAGAGCTGGTCCCAAACAAACAGCAGAACATCCTTGGTCGCAATGCCGACAAAAAGCTGCTCTACAAACGGAGACAAGAGCGGCAGCCACGCCTACGCATTCGAGTCATTCTGCCGTCTCGTACGATGTTCCGCCACCTCGGACGAAGCGGAGCCCAGCACCGAGACCAAGTGGGTGTGTAGCGGTGGATCAATGCGATGCAGTGCGTCCAGACACGGCGCGACAGCGTTCGGCAGCCGCGGCCGCGGAAGACGCAGCAAGACGCAGTAGGCTTCGACGAGGGTTGACACCGATGTCGTGCCATAGACCAGGAGTAGAGGTACACACAGAGCATACATGGCGTCGTTGCGCGCATCAGGCATGGCGCCAATGGCGTGGGCGTACGAGAGGACCGTCTTCATGGCCATCCACGACTCGCGGAATGCCGTCGTTATGAGCGCGGAAGAGGCCTCGAGGATGCGGCGACACGTGTCGGTAATGTCGGCGTCCAAAAGCGAAATGGTGGCGACGCGGTCGATGACGCAGGCGGTGTCGTACCGCACCCGCAATGGCGCGTCCGCTAAGAAGAGCTGCCATGCCTACGCGAGTATGAGGCGGGCGACGTAGACATGCACGGCCACACGTGTCGGCGAAAGGCTACGGGAAACGGGGTGTTGAGAAGGAGACGCAGCAAACTGCGCTGCTCGGGTGGCAGCCCCACGACGAGGGTCGCCGCGGCGTCGGCAGCGGCATCGAGCAGCAAGGTTTTCTACCGAAATGGGTTCTTTTACTTGGTGGAGAAGACGAACCTTGGTTGCCTCGGGTGGTGCAGTAGCGTACGCGCTCTCGACGGCTCTGCTGAGATGCTGCAGGATTTCGTGGTGACGATAGAGTCGATCGACAGGAGTAGAAAGTAGTACATGATCGAGTACAGTGGTGACATGCTGGAGGAAGCGGCCGTGCGCTGCGTCGTCAGCCACGTGAAGCTCGACCTGCGCCATCACGAGCGCCCGCTCGTCGTCGCCGAGGTCGGAAAAATACTGTTGTCTTATCGATAGTCTCGTCCCAGGAGCGGTGGCCTACCTTGGTCTTGTGCTGCTTGAGCACGGTTTGCACGCGCGAGTAGATACCATCCTGGAGGCGTCGCCAGTCCTGGCTTTGACGCACCGCGTCCCTTGCCTCGGCGAGCCACGCAAGATCCATCCAAAGTAATCTTATTGGGGGGCGTCAAAAGGTTGGAAAGAAAATCGCCAAATATGACGTGGCACGACGACGCGCGAATGCAAGATCTGCAGTTTTCGGTCGACAATCATCAAGTAGAGTGAACGATGTACTAGTAGCCAAGCCACCTAGCACTCCTTTCGGGATGGGTGGACGGACGATAACCACAGCGTTGGCGACCAGAAACTTGGGAGTTTGATAGTATGAAGGTAAAGTCGTGCGCGTACGTGCGATGGTTGACCGAGCAGAAGCCTCTGTCACACCCAAGGGATGTAATAGAAAGCGCCTCGGTGAAGGCCGCCCAAGGATACCGGACGCGAGGCAGTCGAAAGGATGTCGATGGAGGGTGATTGCCCACCGCTCCCAAGGACGCACTCGAGCTTTTGGTCAGCATGACGACGGCCATCGAGAAGCTCACGCAGCAGTCGACGGCGACGCAGCGCGACGTCCTGAACCATGTGCAGCCGCTGCGGTGCCATTAAAGAGGACCTCATACTCCACTACCAGCAGTTGTAGCTCCGCTGGACCGCCGACGACTCGTCCGACCCGAGCACTTTGACATGCGCTTGTTCCAGCTTACGTTCACCGACCCGGCCACTGTGTGGGTGCGCACCTAGTTTACGGCTGGCAACTCGTTCAAGACGCTTGGCTAGAGAGTTGACATCCAGGAACGGCTCCGTGAATATTGTCCAACCTCCGCCAAAGCAACTGCGCGGGTGGGCTGAACGAGTACGTCCAACTGCTCCGCAAGATCATGGCGCGAGTGACCAACAAGATCACGTATTTCATCCGTGGCCTCAAGTCGCAGACAAAGATGGAGCTGGTCTCCGCGAGATCGGCTTTCCCTCGAACGCATGTCGGCTTTGAACGTGCATTTTGGCGACGAGCGTGAGCTCAATGATCGTTGTGACCAGGACGCCATGGACGAGGCCAAGCCGCGCCGCAGCAGGGATCATCCCAGTGAGGTCCTGGTGTTGTCGATCCCAGTGAAACCGACCAACGAGCGTGCAGGACCAACCCTCCCGACTACCAACCCGTCCGACGTCCTCTCGGACGATGAGGGGACGAGGCTCTCAAGCAAGAAGAGCTTGCCGCTCTCTCAAATGAAGAAGGCTCGCCCGAAGCCTTGCCGTCCCCCCGTGCCCATCCCTACGTCCGAGCCCGTCATGGACGTGTACGGCATGGTCATAAGCTGGACATGTACATCGCCGACGATGCCTCGGACGAAGGCAGCGACGCTGCAAGCCTAATAGTGCCGTGTGTGACGCCTCAGAAGCGCTGTCCGACGTCACTGACCAAGAACTCGTCGACGTTCTTGTGGCGCTTGAGGACCTGCACATCATCGAGACGCTCTGTGCCAACATGCGTTTTGGCCAAGACCCGGTCTGGAAGGTAGTTTTGATTTCTCCGACGAGGATGCGGCCCCGAGTATGTGTTCTTCAGCCCGCCCAAGTCGTCCAAACCGCCTGCGAAGACGACCAAGGTGCAAGTCAACACAATGGCCACGTCCCACTGTTGTACAAGAGCTCATGATCCCCAACGGCGCGATTTGACGGCCATGGCGCTCGCACCTTCCTCAATTGCGGTGCGATGAACCAACAATGATATGCGATACGTTTGGCGGCTCGATCGTCGAGGCTGTCGAAGACTCAACAGCAGCGTCCAGAAGCAGGTCAACCCGTGTATGTCGTCGCGATCGGCAACCACACGTTCCCGCAGCTTGAGAAGATCGCGTGGGACTTTGTCGACACCATTTCCGTCGTTCTACGAGTACTATGTTGGACACTTGAGCTTGGAGGCAAAAGGAAAACTGAATTCGATCGACCATTTACAAAGCTAAACCTAAACCCGCTCGTAGAGGCTTAGCAACTTGAACTTCATCTTGAACTGCAAGTTGTCATGGAGAAGAGAACACACGCGCTGGATCGCGGATCCCAGCCGTGACATACTACCTCACGATCAACTGGCGCACTCGGCTGTCAACCCCAAGCCGCCAGTGCGCCGTTTCGGTTGCCACCGCGCCTGACGAAGAGCACCTACGCGGTCCGGTCGGAGGAGGACTGTCTCATTAACGCCACTGTTGCAGAGCTTGTCGAGACGCGGTCCAAGACTCTAGCGTAGGTGGTCGTCGAGGAGTGACGCCTTCCTGAACACTATGGGGTCCGCCTCTCGCCCATGGAGAGCTACTGCTCGACGACTTTTTGGTTCCTCAACAAGAGATGGATCCAAGTCTCCACTAGCGCTTGCGTCGCGAACGTCTTTGGGTGCCCAAACGCAGCGGTGATGGCGAGCTGCCGTCGCGAGCCCAGTATGTCAAGTCGCTCTCGTCACAGTTGGGAATATATTTGTGTCTGATTGAACAATCCGCACAGCAAAAGATAAGCGCAGACACAGCAATTC